CCTACGGGTCTGGGAGAGCAACTGAGAGCATAACTGCAATATTACTGTACAGATATGGGCATATTTAATAAGACTTCCTGGACTAAGTTTTACCTTGTGTGGTCCTAGTTCCAGGGCCATTACTTTAGTCAAGATGTCCAAGCCAGCTTTGGCACAGCCTGCAATTTGAAAAAAATCAAATAACAGACTTTTATCGTTGATAATGACATTTCTGATCAAAACTCCATATATTATTGTCCTATTTAATTATGACGTCACATCAAAACATTCTATTGTTTTAACGCTAACGATTATGGTCGCCAGGGGGGATCAGTGACTGCATATCAAATTCCACAATTTAAACCCTGCGCTAAAGGTTCACATCTCAAAATTGTAACCGAAAAATAAAGCAGAGTTTGATACTTACAGCAAGTACCCAAAGTACCGAAGGCTCTTGTAGAACCAAGACTTGATATATTAACAATAGCACCACCATACCCACCAGCCACCATCTTACGAGCGACCGCCTTATAAATATGAGCAGTCATTTATTACCAGACAGACAGACAGATTGGGACAAGGAGTCACACAGATAGAAACCACTCACTGATAGATCGATAGAAAAGGACGGAGAGATAGACAGACACATCTGGTTAGCCTATATAGTCAGGGCGAAAGTTTCCAAATGATCCCTCAAACTCTCTATACCATACGTTGATTATAATCAACAGTCAGGGCAATATGACATCTATTGCTGTGATAAAATTGCCTTTTACCTGGCTTACAAAAAGTGCAGCTTTCAGATTAATGGACATCACCCTGCAGTGCAAAAGAAAAAAAATAAAATAAAAGATCACCCCATTTTTTTCCTTTGTTGGTATAAAAATTGAATTGACGAACTATTTACAATTAACAAATTATATATTTATCTGTGTATGTTCACCCTGAGTGAATTTATGCTTTACTTGAAATATCGGCTAAACATGAAAAGGTTTTCTGCTCTTTTATTTTAGCAAGAAGTGAGATTGTTATAATAATAAACTTGCTCTTGTTTTGATGTAATGTTTAAAGTCCGACAATGAGGACTGGACGGGATTTCAAGTCCGCGCAATTAGTTCCAGTCCGAGGCGTTAGGTATAAGTAACTGGAAATAAGGTTAGAATACAAGGTAGGAGTACTTCCTCTGGTATCCAGTTACTGCACGTGGTACAAATTACAATCAGGGATTGGCTGGATACCTCATGAATAATTAATGAGTATGAGAACTTAGGTTATAACTAATGTTCCTAATATGACTTTAGGGTGTAGTAGCATATTCAATGGGTGGTTTCGGATTTGAACTTGCACTCGTTTCATTTTTCAAACCTTACTTGTCAAAATCTTCTGGCTTGATATCGAGGAAGGCTGCTTGAGAAGGGACAGCAGCATTATTGACAACAAGGTGGATGTCATCTTGCGCTTCTATGGCCTTCATTGCCTCCTCAATGTTACCCAGGTCAACACATAAAGGCTTGATAGATGGNCAAATTATTATGATTACTGCATATTAAACACATTCTCGTATCCAGATCCTTCTCAGTTTTTCAACGGAAAATCAAAGGCTCTGGTTAGAGACGATATAGGAAGACCCAGAAACTGGAATTTTGAGCCAATCAAATCAAATCAAATCAAAGGCTCTGGTTAGAGACGATATAGGAAGACCCAGAAACTGGAATTTTGAGCCAATCAAATCAAATCAAATCTAGATACAGGGGCAATCAGCATCCATTGGCTACGATGATGGAAGACAGGGAGTGCCATTGTTAAATCTCGTCATCCATCCGCCATAACTAACTAACTAACTAAGTTAAAGTCCCAGCCAGAGCCTTCGATTTTCCGTTTGGAAAACGAGAAGGATCTGGGTACGAGAATGGAATTACACCAATATGAATGAATGAGCAGTTCATAACAAAAGAATTTTAAAAGAGAACCCCTCGAATCTCTGTCTGGGAGAACAACTGAGAGCACAATTAATGTACAGATATAAATATTTTTAGAATATTAAAATAAGACTTCCTGGACTAAGTTTTACCTTGTGTGGTCCTAGTTCCAGGGCCATTACTTTTGTCAAAATGTCCAAGCCAGCTTTGGCACAACCTGTCATTTGAAGAAAACCAATAATAGACTTTTATCATCGATGATGATATTTCTGATCAAGACACTTTATATTATTGCTCTATTTTGCATTCGATTGTTTTGACGCTAAGGATTATGGTCGCCAGATGGGATCAGAGTGACTGCATATCAAATTAAATGTACATGAACAATCTTTTGATACATTTGATATACGATTCATTGAAGTTCTACTCTCGCAGAGAATATAAATGGGTCTCAGTCTCTGAGCATGTAAACATATGTTACGTAAAATAGTGCAATTTAGGAAGCAATTCAAAAATAGAGCTCAAAATCAACAACTTATGCCCTGCACTAAAAGGGTCACATCTCAAAATTGCAACAGAAACATAAAGCAGAGTTTTATACTTACAGCAAGTACCCAAGGTACCGAAGGCTCTTGTAGAACCAAGACTTGATATATTAACAATAGCACCACCATACCCACCATCCACCATCTTACGAGCGACCGCCTTATAAATATGAGCAGTCATTTATTAGCAGACAGACAGACAGATTGGGACAAGGAGTCACATAGATAGAAACCACTCACTAATAGATCGATAGAAAAGGACGGAGATGGAAAGACACATCTGGTTAGCCTATATAGTCAGGCCGAAAGTTTCCAAATGATCCCTCAAACTCTCTATACCGTACCATACGGTATAATCAACAGTCAGGGCAATATGGTATCTATTGCTGTGATAAAATTGCCTTTACCTGGCTTACAAAAAGTGCTGCTTTCAGATTAATGGACATCACCCTGCAGTGCAAAAGAAAAAAAAAATAAAGGATCAGCACATTTTTTTCCTTTGTTGGTATAAAAATTGAATTGACGAACTATTTACAATAAGAAAACTGAAATAAAAACATATTTATTTATCGGTGTGTGTTTACCATGAGTAAATTTATGCTTTACTTGAAATATCCGCTAAACATGAAAGGGTTTTCTGCTCTTTTATTTTAGCAAGAAGTGAGATTGTTATAATAATAAACTTGCTCTTGTTTTGATGTAATGTTTAAAGTCCGACAATGAGGACTGTGGACGGGATTTCAAGTCCGCGCAATTAGTTCCAGTCCGAGGCGTTAGGTATAAGTAACTGGAAATAAGGTTAGAATACAAGGTAGGAGTACTTCCTCTGGTATCCAGTTACTTCACGTGGTACAAATTACAACCAGGGATTTGCTGGATACCTCATGAATAATTAATGAGTATGAGAACTTAGGTTATAACTAATGTTCCTAATATGACTTTAGGGTGTAGTAGCATATTCAATGGGTGGTTTCGGATTTGAACTTGCACTCGTTTCATTTTTCAAACCTTACTTGTCAAAATCTTCTGGCTTGATATCGAGGAAGGCTGCTTGAGAAGGGACAGCAGCATTATTGACAACAAGGTGGATGTCATCTTGCGCTTCTATGGCCTTCATTGCCTCCTCAATGTTACCCAGGTCAACACATAAAGGCTTGATAGATGGYACCTGTTGGATACATTGATAGATAAGGTTGGTCYTCMCAGGGTACACAGCGACTGCAGTCCTACCTCCTTCACAAGGGAATCCAGATCAGCTTGTGTTCTTGTCAAAGCRATGACCTCAGCTCCACATTTCACCAGTGCCTTGGCTATGTTACGTCCTATGCCTGGGATCGAATAAACGCTTTGAGAAATTGAATTTAAGGGGTCATTTTGGAAGTGTCCTTAGTTTAGCATTTTGTCGTAAAATATCGTTACTTTACTATATGATTTAATCTTCAGCTTTTTTTTTTTTTTTTTTCACGCGTGTAAGAAAAATACTTGACGCCGTTGGAAACATGCTGCTCTCTRCCTCAGGTTTGCTTGTTGTTACAGTTATTGTTCTGTCACGCAACATTTCATATTATCAATGCTGTACCATCTTGCATGATCTCGTCTAGCCAATCAGCGCGCTTGTTTTGATCACTCTAAAGCATATGTTTTGAACAACAGGCTGTATGAATATATATTRGTTATAAACCGAAAAACACTTGATAAGCCGTAACGATGATGCTACAAGACAAGTTGGGACATTTTATCTTTACTAATTCGGGAAATAAAGAATGTGCAATTCAAACAACTTCTTATTAAAAGAGAATTTTGATTCATTTATGGGTAATTCAGGTTAAAAAGTGAATGCATGCTAAAAATATAACTCAGGCTGTTCACGGTTCAGACCACTTCAACTTGTTTTGCTTCGGCTGAATTTGAATCGTGACATGCTTGTTCACACGAAAACGTTTTAAAAACAATTTGATTTCAAACGGTTTGTATGTTTCAATATGTTTTAGCGTTTACGTTTCGAAAAAACGTGAAGATACGAAYGTTTGGTATAGAAATGCGTTGCATGGAAATATAGTCTGTCGTTTACAACTGTGCTTTCAGCCAATCTATCAATTTATCGGTCAGAAGACCAGGTTATTTACGCTTGCAAATCTAGCAATGCCGTGAAAAAAGCACAATATAAGCCGAATGCCGAATAGCAACAACCCTGTTTAAGTTGTAAACATATGATAACTGCTTGCATGAAAAAACTATTTTGCTATTGTTCACAGAAAGTTGTAAATATGCATTTCACYTTCTAAACTTAACAAATAGAAACTTCTGAAAAAGAAAGAAAAATAACTAAATGACAAAATTACCTTTTCCAGCTCCTGTAACAAGAGCTCGTTTTCCATTAAAACTGATTTCCATTTTTACGAGTTTGCAAGCTAGAATACACTCTTAAGGGCCGAAGGTAATCGAGATATGTTAAAAGAGCAGAGGACAAGGAGCACGCAACCGCTAACTACAACAATGTTGTGTGACATTTTGAAAAACCGTTGGGGGAGGGGAGAGATGAAGACCTTTTTTTGTGATATGACCAATTTTGCCATAGGAGGGATGGAATTGAATGGCAAGACCCGACTGCAAGATAATAAAAAAAGAATACCTTGACCTACCTTTCCAGTGGCTGAGTGATGTTAARCTTTCGATACGTACTTAGTGAATTGTTATTGGAGAAATGCCTCAAAGACTGAATTTTGGAATGGTTCCAGTGTATGTYCATCTGTGTTTATAGATTTTAGCTTATTCCATGAGAAGGAAGCAGCCATCAGTYACAGCGAAGTGAACCTGCTCAAAATATTAAGATATCCCAGACGAAGGCGGCTTTTGTTTTCGATCATTCGGCAAGAAATTGCAATTAAATATTAGTATTATCTATGACTGACTTCTGATGCTAAACTCCAAACTGTATAAATTAAATATCAATGATAAAATAAACCTACTAAGCATACTAACACACTGTTGAGGCCGATAGCAGGAAGAACGATTTTCAGTTTCGACCCGTTTTCAGCACAAACATCTCATGTTAGTTAGTTTAGTTAGTTAGGCGGATGACTCCGAGATATCTCATGTACTCGAACTAAACTGCCAATAATATTATATCAAAAACTTTTACTCATTTTGAGTTCAGCTGAGATCGTTTATTTAGTGTAAAACATAATCTGTCGAGCCCGAGTGCTAGAATATTTCTCAAAATGCACCTGTGTCGGYGGTTTTCCAAGCCTCCATAACTATTTTGCGTCATTGCATTGACAGATGAGCTCAATGTTAAAAGGTTTTAAGGTAAATCTTTCCAGGCACGGTTCCAAAAAAAACTGAGAAGCTAGTACAGTATTTACACATGCAATGTTTGTTTGGAGATGTTACTGAGAGACATAAACGGTACCTTTAAAAATGTAGGTCTTGGCAAATATTTGTCGGTCTCGAATCTGGGAAGAGTTTTTCATAGCGAATCTCAAATTTTCCTAGAAGATTTAAAAAAAAAGTTCTTAAATTTTTCCAGAGCACAACCTAAGTGATTAATTCCCAGCTTTCGATTGATGCAATTGAATTCAAAGTTAAAGTTAATTTAGAAGGACAAATGCCTCAAGAGAACGCCTTTCCTGAAATAGCATTGCGCATTGCATTGTGGTCCAGTACAAACATTATTAGTTCATGTTGCCAAATATGGTGTTGTTTGTTCTGAAGATCGTACACAATGGTTTTGTTAACACYGACACAGTTTTTGTATTTCAGAAGGTTCTATGGCAACAAGCCAGGTTGTTGTTTCAGTTGYACGACTCCACGGAAACAGACACGTACACGGAAGTGAACCGCGATTGGACAATTCGTTGACCTAATCAAGGATAATATCTCAGTGCACCGGTAGCTCAAGCATATAAGGCAGAGCACGTCTTGTGTAGAATTAAACTGCAAGGTTTTCCTGGAAGATTGCCGAAGCTAAAGCTATCCCCAAGAAACGTTTAAGGTACCCATTGAAATATTTACTTTTCGATAATTCAGTTCGGAAAAGGAGGACTGTTCCTTTATTTTTTATTTTTTGTAATTGTTAGAAATAAAGTTCGCAGAGCAGACGTGATTTAAATTTCTATTCCGTGTATATAGTATTAAACTTTTCAAGAAGCAAATTCGTAAGCAAAAGCTAACAAACTTTTAAGCGTAAACCTTGAGTACAAGGAAGGATTTTATAGGGCTATAGCATCATGAAATATAGCCATACTTTCAAACTCATACCAGAGGATAGTAGGATACTTGRTAGGATCAGCAGATCATTGCGCTGTGGTGAGAGAGAAAGATCTCCCTCAGTTTACAACTCGATCGAGAACAACAAAACAGTCACATAGAATTTGATGTGTGACCATAGAACAGTGAAAACATTGTTCTCCTATTCCTTTAGCATGTTTAAACTTGGTCTTGTTCTGTTGGTGGCGTGCGTCATTTGCACTCAAGCCAAACCAGCATCGAAAACGGCATCAACTTTGTGCAGAGCTCCTAATGGAATTACAAGYCCATGCTATCAGCTGATAAGAAAAACAGCTAAGTACGAAGAGAGAAAGTATGTAAGCTCTCTGTGGGCCAGCACTAGCGAACAAGGTGAACATCTTCTATTTCAAGTTTGTCCAGACACATTTTTTATTTTTTTCCAAGGTCTTGAAGGGTTAAAACGTTTATCTGAAATTTTATCCGTTCAAAGCTATGCAAACCAGAGGGGGTTTCCCCTTAGCAAGACACTTTCGTCCCCATATGATAACTTATTTTAGCGTCCTGCAAATTTTAAAGGTTCATGCGTCAATTTGACAGTTGTGTAAAAAGGTAAATTTTAACACCGTAAAAAAGTAGATACTTACTGACTTTCCGGACGTTAATCCTTCGTCGGAGTCAAGAAGCGAAGCACCGATGCAGCTCACACTAGTTTACCGCTAATTTCCATGATCATGCGTTAATTTTAATACTTTATTTTACCGTTTTAGTCGCTGTAGGCACGAAGATTTCAGGAAAAATATCCCGATCATGCTACATGCGCCTTCGTGGYTACCTTTCGTCGCATAATGTCACTATGGGCGTACCCGTACTCTACACAATCAAAGCCATCCCAGGAGGAAAAGTGGACTTTACCATGTCCTTCTTCCTACCAAATAACGGCCCTAATTTCCAGCCCCCAGCACCCCACGATAAACGAGTGCGCCTGGAAAACAAACCTTCCATGAACGTCTAYGTTAAAGTCGAAAAGAACCTGAATTACGAACACAGATTTAGCAAAACATACGCKCAACTTCTAAGTGGCTACTTGAAAGCTGATGGTCTGGCTGGAAAGTACACGACGCCTGACATCATGTTTATGGCCGCTGGATATGATGCACCGTGGACAGCTAAGAGGACCAATGAGTTCTGGCTTTTGAAGGCTTAGTCTTGGTTAAGCAGCGCTTCATTTTAAAACTTCAGTCACAACTTAAAGGCTTGAAAACGAAAGCATATTAAATAGTGTAGATTTGTAAAGACATTTGTT